TCAGATTCTATTATATTAAACAAAGATAGCGGTCTTAGTTCTGACCAGGTAGGAAATTACGACCTAGAGGAGAGCTGGAGTTTTTTTGTTTCTCGACATCGCCAGCATTATTCTTCCCCTTTCGGGTTTTTAAGCAAATATGTTTTTTTCTCCCCACCCCACCCCAGCGCATCGTGTCCGGAATACTTTGTTAGTACTTGAATTCTGAAACAGAGGAACACTTGTCCTCTTTCCGCACTCGTCCGGCGCCGAAACCTTGGCCTGAGGTGAGCCGGGGCCGTGCGTGAACCTAGAGATTTATCTCCGGATGTGCGGGTCACGTGTGTCCGCACACGGAAGCAAGCGCTCCCAGCTCGGAGCCGTGCATGTCACTTCGGGCAACGTTGCAGCTAGAGAGGTGAGGCGTGTAGGTGTGTTGTACAATTTCGCTGTCTGTTAAGTCTGGGGTCTTTGCACTCAGCCTGTAGACAGGTAAATCGTGTGCTTGTGCGTGCAAAGCAGAGGTCGCAGACGCTGCGCTCAAAGGAGGAAGGTGCGTAATTTTAAGGTATTGCGTTTGTGACCATTGCCTGTCAGGCGACCATAAATGTCTTGTACTTATTTAGGAAACTGCACTACGAGTTATGGAAGGTGTGCATTAAACGTTTTTTTTTTTTGTCCGGTGCGTTTTAATGTTGTTCGATGGAGTTGGTTCACACAATTCTGCGTGTTGATAAGAATGGACAGGTTTTGCATGTGCTTTTACGTGTAGATATAGTGGATGTCTTCCGATATTACGTATTTGTAGTCTTGCAGAAGTGATGGTTAATCAGTAAGCAGTTACAAAAGGTTATACTGAGCTACATATTCAGTAAACTTTCTTCCTATCAGCGGTAACTTTTAGTATAATATACATTTAGTTTTTTAATCGTTTACATTTTTACCTTAAACATTTTCTTAGACTATTAAAAAGTAGAATAGATTTATATAACTGGTTTAGACATTAATATACTTTTAATGTTACGTTGTAAACACACATTACAGACATTTTTGGAAAATTGATAAACGCTACTGTATTGAATTAAATTAATCTGAATATTTTAGTGCTTTAATCCTACTCCGGAAGCACGATATTTATACTGTATCCGAGCACACACACTTGAATATTTCGAGTCCATAGTCCAGTGTATAATTTCTAGCACCTGTTTTATAGTCATAAACGTTAAAATTTAAAAACCATAAAATGCTGCAGTTAAAAAAAATGAGCTCGAGAAAAGACGAGTGAAAACTTTCAATTTGTCCCAATACGGTTCTGAGGGGGCAGATTGCACAAGCCTTCACCGAGCCTGTTTTTTTTTTGTTTCTTTGCAAATTGATTTTTGCGATGCGCTTTTTATCTCTTAGTATAAATATTTGATGACGTTAATAATTTACAAGTTCAGCACAGCGGGATCGGAACAGGCTGCAACCCTCTCTCTCTCTCTTCTGGGGCTGCCCGAGGGATGAGCAGTCTGCAGCTGTGGACTGGCAACCCTGTGCAATTGCATTTAAAACCGACCACAGGTGGATCGTCTTGACGCAAAAAAAAAAAGTTGTGGGAGTATGGAGCAATGTGGTTGAAGTTGGCTTCCTTCAAGAAACGGCTGGATAAGTTCCTTAGATGAAGTACTGTAGCAACTAACAATCAAACCAGCTAAAAGCCTCCTCGTTTGTAACCCTTCTCTGTTTAACGTTGCCAGTTTGAACCGTCGCCTGCGAGATGGAAATTTTGGCTCAGGTTTTCGATGCTGGAGTCTGATACAGCTTTTACTCCTGTGGGTGACAACAGACAGCCAGTGTCCCAGGGGAGATTATCACATTTCACGCTCTTAAACAGTTAAATTACACCGATAACAGTAATTTCAGTGAACGAGTGCACTGTTCTTGGTGGCTGTCCATACACACGCTGTCGGCAGAGCTGCACTCTGAATGCTGCTGTGCTCAGTGCCCAGATAAAGGAGGATTTGTTCAAGCTGTGAAGGGCTCTGCAGCTCTGTGGAGCTCACAGGCGTTCAAGATCTGCTGCTGTTTGCTGTCTTCCTTTGCTTTCTGTAAGTAGACACAATTATTTAGTGATTGTGTGGCCTTCGTTATTTCATCCCCATTCAGATTTGAATTAATTGTTAGTGTGAAGCTGCCATAGTTTGATGTAGTTGGTGGGACATTTTTAAAGCTCCAGGGCCTTTTTATCAGGGCTCTTAATGTTGAATTCTGTTTTGAAATTGGTATTGGTGCCTGCATTCTTTCACAGTGCTCTGAATATGTCAGAAGCATTTTTGAATGGTGATACAAAGTTCTACCTAGGTGTAGACCTTTTAATCACTTATGATTTATGATCTTTTGCTCTTGTTGGGAATTGCAGAGTTCCAGTTACATTTTTTTAAAAGTAGAATCACCAATTATGCTTGTTCTACCCACCCATTGTGAATCGTCAGTGTGTTTTTTAGGCCTCACCTCTCTGCTACAAACCCTGCAACCGGACACGGGAGAATGAGGAAGTGTGGGTGAACTCTGACCCTCTGATCCGCTCCCCTTCAAGCCAGCCATCTTTCAGCATGTCGCTTCGTGCTCAGGGGCTGGTGCTGACTGTCTTGTTAGCCTCTCTTAATGGACCCTGTGTGTGGGTCCCTTGCTTGTGCACAGCCTTGCTTCTAGGCTCGGCTCCAGATTTCTACGCCCCTGTCAGGAGTGTCAGAGTGGCTCTCTGTTGATGGATGGTGTGCTGTATATATACTGTATGCAAAGATTGACCCCTGCTGCTTTGACTGTAGTGGCACTGTTGTCCTTCATGCCAGACTGTGTCCATCCTTTGTGCAACACAGCATTGCCACTCAGGACGCAGGGGTCACTGTGTAAATTATGTTGCAATAACTGTCCCGTCAGGAGCTGCGGCGCTGGCAGAGCGCCACATGACGAATGGCTCTGTAGGCGTGAGTGGGGCACATCTGCCCATCTTAGTGTCTCCCCAGGTGGGTCCAGGACTCCCTGACGGAGAGCTGGGTCCTAAAACAATTGAGAATTCAGAACTGCGCTGGTACTGAACAGAAAAGAAATGAGTAATTCTGATTCTGCGTATACCCAGTTTACATGGAAATATACCAAATATTTTGACCAAAAGCAAAGGGTTCTGGGAGTATAGAAGAGGCTACCTAGGCATTTGTTGAAATCGATATCCTGACTTCTTTCAAGAAAAAGTTGGAT